TCAGGGTTCAGGGTTCAGGGTTAGAGGGAGCAGCTCCCTAGTAAAATTTCGCCGAGCTTGCATCCCTGGGCTTTTGAACCTTGCGGCTTTCAAAGTGCTGAAGTTCAGGGCTTAGGGTTAAGGGTTGAAGGGTTTAGGGGCTGTTGAAACAAGGCTTCAAAATGATCTGTACACGGATTCGCCAGTGAAGGTTTTTATTGAGCTTTAGGGATCCCTTTTTGGGTTTAGGGTTTAGGGTTTTTTGAGCTTTATCAGGGTTCAAAAGGATGTCAGGGTTTAGGGATATGGCGGTGTGGCTGCACTTCTACTCTGCTTTAAAGTCCAAAAACCCCGTATCTTACGACCCCCACGAGATTCGTTTTGGGTTTAGGGTTTAGGGTTCCAACCTACCAGCTCACACTCGGTGGGGGGCAAGACACAAAAAATTTTGGAGGCTCTAATCCATAAGCCTGTTTAGTCTATGACACACCACGGGCACCGAAACCTTAAAACCTCAAACCCGAAACCATAACCCTAAAACCTAAACCCCAAATCCTAAACCGTCCTAAACAAACCTGCAAAACCCAGCCTTCCTCCTAGACCCGGCAACCATAGTCTATCTAGAACCGAGCTGCCTTGAAATCAGGTATACAAGGCCTGGTATCTAAGACAACTAGAACTCTTTTCGGTTTCCTATGTTCTTGCCTTCGGGTTTCTTTCTATAAACCATGTAAAGCCGCTTGAACGAATTGGCCTTAGTTCGTTGTTCGGACTACACTATACGGGACGAGCCCCAAGCCACAAAATTTAGAAGCTAGTTGCCGCCATAACTAAACCCCTAAACCTCGAAACCCTAAATTCAAACCCCTCTCTGGACAACGGGCTATACATGATCCCCTGAGCCCTTATCACCGAGATTCCCCTGCGAGGAAAAACCCTTGTAGCTCAGGAAGAGACTCTTGCTGCTGAAGGTTGATTCTGTAATCGTCCGAGGGTGTACGGTATACCTGGACCCTTCTAGGGTTCCGTATTATGACTTCTTTAAAATAAGTCCTTCAAAAAGTAGGTTGTTTGGGGTGAAGGTAGGGTTTAAGGAGGATTTAGTGATTTAGGGTCAGTTCCCTAAACCCCAAACCCTAATAAACCCTACACCCTAAACCCTAAAACCCTAAACCCTAAAACCCTAAACCCTAAACCCTAAAACCCTAAACCCTAAACTTTACCCCGTGGCCTGGAAGCTTGGTGGATGACAGAAGAAGGTTGCCATAGAGCGAAGGCTCGTTGTTGGTCAGACCTCTAAGATGCACTGTTCGGTGCCGGCATTCTACTGGGTTTCTTAAGGGCTTTAGGGTTAGGGGTTTGGGGGTTTAGGGGTTTAGGGGTTTAGGGGTTTAGGGGTTTAGGGGTTTAGGGTTTAGGGTTTAGGGCTTAGGGAAGGACTTCAAGGTTCTTATGTTGCTAGTTTTGCTTTGGGAAACTTGGGTTGCGAACCTACCCGTGTTGAAATGTTTATCCAGTTTGGATAAGGGCACAATGGCATAGAGGCTACTACTGGGGGACCTAGACATGAGCATTGTTGGAGGTTCGGGTCAGGAGAAGACTCCTCTTGCATGAACAAACCGTAAACTGCACGACCTACGCTCCTAAACCCCAGACCTCCGCAAACGAGCGACACCTCTTGGAAAGACGGTTTAGGGTTTAGGGTTTAGGGTTTTACAACTCTGAGCATGACTGGATGGGAGCTGGGGAATGGCTTTCTGTCGCCACTCTCTGCACGTAAACTCGTGCTTTATTTTTTTATACGTATCCTCAAGGCTGCGATGACCCCAGGCACGTAAATACGCTTTTAATGAGGTCTCCTACATCAGAAGCTCAATGTACTTCACACACTCTTGGTAGCTGAAGTCTTATTGTGGTCACATACAACGAAAACAAAAAGCTTGTGTCGCCCGGTTGGGCCATTCTCGGTGTACAGACCAAAAGTACTTTTTGTCTTGGCAAAACAAACTGTGCCTCGTCCAAAGAGATCAAGCACATGTGCAGGGGGGTCGCCAATTTAGCGAATTTAGCGGCCAAAATACTTGGAATGGGAACAGGTGGGCATGTTCTAGTATAGGTTGATCCGGCTCATAGGTTGGCCGGACATTGCACGCTGCGTTTCGTTGTTCCGAGCTCTAAGCGAATGTACCCTAATCCCTAATCCCTAAACCCCAAACCCTAAACCCAACTATCTACCTACCGATC